AGCCTGAACGGTGAAGCAGGAGTCCAGATGTGAAAGTGTGCTGGTCTTTGAAGGGGGCCGGGGGGGGAGGGGGGGCAGCTGATGACTGACAGCCACTCCATCACAGGAAGCAACAGGAATAGGGCCGGCCTGCCAGGCTCATTCGCCCCCCCCACTTCCCCTACTGTACCCCTCCATCATTGTTCATGGGCCCAGCAGGGGAGCGAGGATGGAGGGACTCCTTTCCTACTTCCCCACCCACAAGAATAACCCCCCCACACACACAAACACATACACACCTGCTGGGCGGGCAATGGGACAGTATGGGATCCAACCAGCAGCATCCACAACAGCTGCCAATCTCATTCCTAAAGGGCGCTGATGCATGCGCGCGCGCACACACACACACACACACACACACACACACACACACAAAGGTACTGTGTCGCTTAGCCCCCGTCTCCATTCATACTACTGCATGTGTCATCTTCATTCAGTGGCACTGAATGAAATTAAAAAAAACAAATGGACAAAAAAAAAAACCTACATGCAGCCAATCAGCAGGGAGCAGGGATTAATTCCATCCAATGACACGGCGTCAGTCATCAGAACAGTGAGCACATCAGTCACTACTGGAAAACACATCTACAGTTCTGCTCTACACCCTTGGTTTTTGGAATACAACATGCGGGGAAAAGGGAAAGCATGAAACGACGTCAGTGTTTATACACTCAGTCTGATAAAAAATGTATGGAAAGTGTATATTAAGTGGAAAGTGACACCCTTTAGCACAAACATACTCAGTTTAATTAGGAAGAACTTGATTTTCATTTGCTGTGCAATTAATCTCATGTAGGATGTATTTCCCATGTCCCGTTAAAGCTTTAAATCAGCATTTACTCTGATTCCATGTTCCTTTTTCGCAATGGTGACAACTAAGAGCAGTACCATACCATCAGAGAAAGTATTACCAAACAGAAGATGTACAGAAGGTCATCTCCAGAGAGCTTGGCATCTCTGCTCCTGCAGTTCACAATGCTAAGGAGTTTGCTGCCTATGGATCTGCCAAGGTCTCTGTTCAAAGGTTAGCGTGAATTGTTGAAAAAAGTCCAGGTACAACACCCGGAGAGCTTAACCAAGAAGGTCATTATGGATAAAGGTCAAGGAGGACCCACAGCCAAAAGAAACACAGAGAGGTTGGACTGATCTTTGCCCAAACTCATCTAGATAAAACGAAATCCTTTGGAGAAAAACTGAGCTATTTGGCAATGCAGGTCAGCGATTTGTTACAAATAACAAAACAGGGCCTGTAAGAAAAAGACTACGGAACCTACATTAACTAGGCTGCAGGTTCCTTAAGAATATGGCGCCTACATTAACCAGGCTGTAGGTTCCTTAAGAATATGGCGCCTACATTAACCAGGCTGTAGGTTCCTTAAGAATATGGCGCCTACATTAACCAAGCTGCAGGTTCCTTAAGAATATGGCGCCTACATTAACCAGGCTGCACGTTCCTTAAGAATATGGCGCCTATATTAACCAGGCTGCAGGTTCCTTAAGAATCTGGCGCCTACATTAACCAGGCTGCAGGTTCCTTAAGAATATGGCACCTACAATAACCGGGCTGCAGGTCCTTAAGAATATGGCGCCTACATTAACCGGGGTGCAGGTTCCTTAAGGCTGTGTCTGCTTTGCTGCCTGTGGCACTGGAGACCTCGGAAGCATTAAGGGAATCCTGAAATTAAGGGATTTGCGGGGCATTTTCAATCAAAATGTAATAACTAGGTAGTGGGTCCACTGGCAGGACAATGAGCCAAAACACACATCCGAAAGCACAAAAGAACGGTTAACAAGGGAAAACCAGACTGCGTTAAACTGCTCAGCAGTGAGCCATGATCTCAATCCGATTTAAAACCTTAGCAAAGCCTTGCCTTTGGCGGAAGGATTCCTGTAAACGAGATCGAGCACAAACTACAATGACAAGAGGGGGAAGCATCAGGAGAAAGGAGCCAGAAGCTGAGAGACTCCAGCAAGATTCCACTGGGGACCATCATCACGGCCGGGGGGGTGGGGTTGGGGGGTACAGCCACGCCTTACAGAAGGGATCCTTTACTTATAGTCAGCAGAAAAAACTACCTTAGTCAGAACAGCTAAAACAGACAACTTTGTTATATAACATCCATTTAAAATCTCCTGAAGATCAAAAGTTGGTGAATCCTGAATTATCCCTGAAGATATAATAGATGATAAACTTTCAGTACAAGGTGGGGAAAATGCTAAGCATTTCTGTCGGGTTATTAAATCTTCACCTTCTGCCAGCCAGCAACTACACCTCTGGAGATCAAAAAATAGGATAGGAGACCCCCACACCCTCCAAAAAAACACTTTTAGTTTTAATGAGAAAAATTGAGAAGGAATACCTCAAAGGTTCTTTTAAAAGAAAAAAAATCTAACCAATTTAATCAAATTAAAATTAAAAATACACAAATTTAACTCAAAAAGCTCAGGGTAACATATATATAATATAAATAATATTGCCACAATCGACTATCAAGATATTTTCATTAAAATTTATTTTCATAGCAATACAAGTATCTATAACCTACAGGACAGAAACACAGCATATGTAAAAATATGTTTTAAAAATGCCCAAACAACTCATGAAAAATGTTTTCATCATTTGATAAACACACTGTAAATTGCTTGACCAGTTCAAACCAAATCTCTAAAACTAAACCCTAAAGAGCTGTCTTATATGGAGTTTCAATGGCAATTTTTGTAGCACCCAAATTGTGTAAACAAATAAATTGACTGATTAACATAAAATCAGCAGCAGTTAAGATCCCAAAAGGACAAAAGCACACTTACATCCCATTAAATTCACTATTTAATTACAAAACTAATTTCTGTTCAAAACAGAAAAAGATATGTCCCTTTGGTTATGCATTCCCCACGAATGTAGTCAGTACGTATAGCTTCTGTTTTTAAGCGTCATGATTTAAATTAAACATAGGCCTACAGGTACAGTGTAATTAAATCTTGTATAATTATAGCGTTTATTCTGCAAAATCAAATGCGCAAAAGAAAGCACTAACAACAGCGAGTACATTAAAGAGTTTCAGTTTTAGCGGCTTCCTGCGGGTTCGGCTTTAACGTTTGTGTGTTTAACATTTGAATGGACCGTGCATCTTGAACTAATGACCGCATGTAAATCTGACGCTGCCCGAATTCCAGCGGGACACAGGAGCTAATAAACTTTCCACAAGGAGAGCAGATTAAACCATTACAAACAGTACTAGCTGCCTTATTCGTTAGGAGCAATTACGCCACATTGTATATATATATACACAATTATGTATGAATTTTAATGAAAGAGTCAATTTTTTCAAGACTTCCTTAAAAACATTCACCATGCATTTATTTTTACCATTTGTATTTTAAAACGTAGCTTGAATATATATATTAATCTACACCACTGATGTGTATAAAAAAATAAATTACCACAATTAATAATAAATGTTATTGCTGTTAATGCCTATATTTTCCAGATTTCCTCATGCGCATAATACAAGCCAGAATTTTGAAAAAAATTTTGAGTATGTAATTATGCATACCAAAACAATTCTGTTGTCACACGTGATTCCCAATTTTAATCGAACAAATTGTGCATGCGCTTAAAAAATAGTTAACTCCACCAGTACTATTTAAAGTGTTAAATGTCAATTGTCTTATAAATTAATTAGAATGTCTTAAGAAACAAGGGGATAGAATTGGTAATGGAAATTCGGACGGGCTATTTTCGCTTTAACCCAAGATCAAAGCGTTGTTTTCCTTTCGTAGGCAAACCATTGAAGCTGAGATTCACTCAGATGGACATGATACGCAACATAGGCGTCTGCGCCAGAAACAGCCACGGACTATCCGTCGCTTTGCCGAAACAAAAGGCAATATCTGTTGCTGGTTAACAATGAAATCTTATTTCTCTCTCGGACTTGCGGGATTGTGTGAATGTAAACGCAAGGAGTGGTCATTCATTCGTTTTACGAAGGAGTGGGGGGGAGGGGGTGCCGTTTAAGCACTTCACTGCTCACAGACCTCCCTGGGAAAATAAGTACACCACACTGATTTAGAAATTTAACTCAAAGTCAGGCGCAAGGTATGATTAATGCGCGTCACTTTGCAAGGGCACTACTGAACAATTACGCAATCTCGGTTAGTATTGATACTACACTGAACAAGCATAGACGAAGCTTTTGGTTATGCTTTAACGTTACATAACATCCTTACTACTCTATACTACTAGTACTACCATTATTATTATTATTATTATTATTATTATTATTATTATTATTATTATTCCCTTAGAATTTCATTTAATAAAGGTGGATGGATGGATGTACATAATTGTGCTGGTGCTCTGGGTCGCAGAGGGATAGAGGGGATTCGGTGGTTTTACCCCCAAGCCGTTCTCCCAAGTTCAAAAGTTCAGCTTTTACGATCTCCTGACGACCACTGACTACCCACCTCCAAATAAAAACATTCCAATTCTTCCGCTAACCAAACGCAACTTCTGCTCCCACCCGCCCCCCAAAAAACAGGAAAAAGAACCCCTTTATGACTCTCCAGGATATCCTTAATCGGCATCGGTCAATAACGGCACTTTTCACTCATCTGTCCGACGTTTAATAATGTTTAATGACCAAAGATGCACTGAACAACCTCTTTATATTCAACATACATTTCGATTTCGATTAAATTAGGTTTCTGGGTTTTATAATATATATTATTTTGGCAAGTATCTTAAGTAATCGTGTTAAATTAATCATCATCCTTGGCAATTACAAAATATGTGCACACTTTACTTAAAATGGATTTCGGGTCAAAATATTTACAATAAATTATTCGCATAAAAAAACAGGAGCACTCACTTCGGAAATGGACAATTTTAGTTAATCTGAGATGTATGGCTATTTACATCAAATATTCGTTGCAAATGAAACCAAAAAGGGATTGGGACTTACCATTGACGGACTTCACGTTGTTTCTCTCTGAATACTCGAACCCATTTGCCCTGTTCTCTACCTCCATCCTCTTTGCCGGGTTCTGTGCGCCTCTCAACTCAGCTGCTATCGTTATTTTTCCCGTGTGATCTCTTATCTTACTCGTAAAAAACGCCGTTAATAAACGCGCTCAATGGACGCTCCGCCGCTCCATGCCTACCGCTGTCAGTATACACACGGATATCCACGTTCCAGCATCTACAAAAACAGCCCTTCGCCCCTCCAGCACTCGCGTCATGACGTATCTCTCTGGCTGAAATGGAGGGGGGCATTGTGGGATATGTAGGACCTTACCCATTTGTTTCATTGGTCCATCAGCTACCCATATACTGTGTGTGTGTGTGTTTTCATTCTGTGTCCCTATTCTTCTCTTTAGTATTATTTTCATTGTTATTATTATTAGTACTATTATTATTAACAATACTATTGTTGTTGTTGTTGTCTTGGCCACAGCTTTTACTGAATCCATAATGTTCATTTTACCCTTTAATTCCCGTTCATCTTTAGTACACCATAGATGTATCGCGCCGCGATTTCCCTCAGTATTCACTGAATTTCTACGTTCAGGTCGCATTCGTAATGATTTTGGAATATTGTTTGACCTCTGAAGAATTAAAGTAATGTATTTGAAGTATAGGCTACATGAGCTATCATTTATCTGGTTATTTTTATCCATATAATCATACATTTTGTTTCATAAATAGTTAGATTAAAGCAACACAGCAGCCACAATAGTGATAGTAATTAATCTGTCAATACTTTAATTTATAATACAGGCTGTTATTCATTTTAAGGATGAAAATGCAGATTTTTATCTTTCACAAATACAGGCACTTGTGCTAATTCACTAATTCGATTTAACGCAATGTTTAAATGAGTATTGTTTTTAACTAAAAATTGTTCTAACATGATTTCAATAGTACTTATCTTCAATCAGAGGTTTAATCAACGTTAATTAGGTCTAACTGCGAACGGCGATGGAACAAAACTCGGGAGTCACGAGGATCAGCATTTAAACTTACAAAACATTCTAGATAAATTATAACGCGAATTAAATTACACGTCTTATTAACACCCGTTTAACTTAAAAATAAACGCTAGTCCGTTTAATTAATCTAAGACCCTTTAAACCGTAAATCGCCGATAATTATATAGGCCTACCATTCACCTTTTTCTATGTTATGGTCAAACTACTTAGCCTTACACTGATGTTCGGAGTATTTATTTTTTTCATGTAGCCTACGTGACGTTTTCACAGAAGCTAATGTCATTCATGTTTTACAAAACCAGTTTTAATGAAGGATGAATATATATACGTAATATATTTACGAAATGTAATTTAGTGGTAAGTCTTTACCAGTTCTTTGTGAATTTGTAGAGCGATGAGTAGCATATTATATGAGACGCAAATTCAGCAGATTTATTTATATCTTTCCATTCATCCATCCATTTTCTGTGTTGTCCTAAGCAGGGTCCTTACCTAAAATGCCAAAAGAACGACAATAGACCAAAATTAATGCAGATTTTGTTTTTCATTTATTGGGATGTGTTCTTCATTTTCATGCCTTTGAATATGCGATTAAAAACACAGAAACCGACGCTTTAGCTAATCTGGTCAAATGTGTGGGTGCCATATAACTACCTTACCTTTAACATAAAAAAGTTGACTATATTTGTCAACCAGTAAAGTAATATTATGGCCTGAGTATGTTTAAAATCACCGATAGAATATTAACGCTCATATGACGAATATATCTGAATCACATCATTTGGAAAAGTTTTCTTGTAACACTATACATAGTAGGTGAAATTAGGTTAGGCGACGTTTACATTTTTCTCCGTCACTCCTACTATCACTACAGCGTCATCAGCATAGTGCAATGGTGCGCAGACTATACTAACGTGAAATATAACCCTCTGGTAGTTGTTTTCCTGATTTTACCTTTTGGTGAATTAGCTACATTACAGTGCCAACATTTAGCGCGCATCAAACATAATTAGATAATTTCTGAGACATCAATACTAACACAAGTACCCCTCTTGATGCCACTTTAACACAAACATTATATAGGCTTACACTGTCAGAAAAAAAGACTACCAATTTGTTCCTTTGCTTGTAACTATCTTCAAGGGTATGCTAATTGTACCCTAGTTGTAGATAATTGTACCATTTAAGATACAGAAATTGACTATAGGGGAATATTTTGTACCACTTGGGGTACAACAATGTTGTTTGTACCTTTGGGATGTACTTCAGCGTGTATTTCTGTACCTTAAATTAGACTAAAAGGTATATTTACCTGGAGCTAGGGTACAATTGGCAGACCCTTAAGGGTACAGCACCAGTGACAAGCAAAGGTACAAATTGGAACTCTTTCTAACAGTGTGCTACACGTTAGACATTGTGAGAAGCCTGTTATAATCATACAAACCTGTGCTGACCCTAAACCATGAGAGGTCTGCAACCAACTTTAGTGCCATCTGTAGATATCCATGAAATTTAGGTCTACAAATCGCTTAAGTAAATGTATTCATCTGGTACAGTGATTCCCAGAACCTCAGCATTAACTGTTCCGTTAAAAAGCAAAGCAAGGTGACCCAAGTATGTGTACTGTTCCATTGTCACTGAGTTGAGCAGTACAAGTTAAATCCACGGCAGGTGATATCCACCACAGAGGATCTTACGGTACAATTACACTGTGCCAACATGAAGCAGACAAAAATGTTAGGGTTCCTCATCAAATGTTATTGTATTGGGGACCAAAACTCACTCAGTCTTGTAATCCAATGAAGAACTATCGTCAAATTCCAAAGACCACAAAAATGTTCTCAAAATGTATCCTGTGGACTGAGTAGATTTTGGTAATTTGCTCTTCTTTTGTGTTATTCAATTCAATTCAATTTATTTTTACCTAGAACTTTACCTTTCACAAGAGAATCACCCCAAGACCCTTCGCACGGGTGTGTTGTGATACATAACTATATAATTAGAACATAATAATACAAAAACAGGGAAAAGGGAAGACAAAGAAAAGAAAGAAAGAAAGAAAGAAAGAAAGATGACAACAGAGAGGGAGGAACCAAAATCTCCCAAATAAGGAGAAAAAAACCCTCTGGGGGTCCAAGGTCAGCTGGCTGCCCAAACCTCTACTCCCCCCCCCCCCCCCCCCCCCCCCGGCTGTACTGACGTTAGTCAAAACAGAAGAGAGTGGACATGCTTGCTAAAGGCAGGTTTAAGCTGTGATTAAGGTTCGAGACAAAGTCCATCAATGAGTCCGTTATCCATGCCAGCCTGTGTATGCCCCCCCCCCGGGCAGCATCCAGACATGTGTGAAGGAAGGCAGAGAGCATGGATGGTCAGAACATGCATTGACACATTAATAGTTATGGTGTGTTATGTGTGTAGGTAAGCTAGACTGAAGTAATAAGTCTTCAGTTGAGATTTAAAGAATGAGACCGATTCTGCATCCCTAAAATACGCTGGCAGACCATCCCATAATGTAGAGGCCCTGTACTAGAATGCTTTACCATCCACTGTCACTTTATTTATGTGTGGAACGACAAGGAAACCTGCATTCTGTGACCTGAGTGGACAATGCAGCTTGTAAACTTGAAGTAATTCTGTCAGGTAGGCAGGACCTAGACCATTAAGTGCCTTATATGTAAGTAGGAGAATTTTGAAGTCAGTCCTGAACCTAACAGGAAGTCTGTGCAGGGAACTAAGAGCAGGGGTTATGTATTCAAACTCCCTGCTCCTGGTGAGAATTCGAGCTGCTGCATTCTGAATACTCTGCAAGGTGTTTAGTGTGCAGTGTGAGCTCCCAGATAACAGAGCATTTCAGTAGTCTAACCTACTCTGTACAAAGGCATGTATCAGTTTTTCTGTGTCTTGAATAGTAAGAAATCGTTGGGGATATTATGTAGCTGAGGGAGCAAACCTTCGATACTGCATCCACATGCAATTTGAATGAGAGGCTTGTATCTAAGATGACACCTAGGTTACGGGCTGAGCTGCTGAGGGAAAAGTTCAGCCCCTTGGAGTGGAGTGTGGAGAGTGGAGATTAAAGCATTCCAATCCGTGGACTTATCACCAAACAACAGAACCTCAGTTTTCTGAGCGTTTAGTGATAAGAAGTTTTCAGCCATCCAGCTCTTAGCTAAAGTGACAATAGATGCGGAGAAACTGAAATGTATATTTGGGTGTCGTCAGCATAGGAGTGATAGTTAACATTATGTTTCCTCGTTATGTTTCCTAATGGCAGCATGTAGAGGAAAAGCAATAACGGACCAAGCACTGACCCCTGTGGTACCCCAGATTTGACCGGTGACATCGACGATAGAGCACAAGTATCTGACACTTGAACATATTGATAACGATTAGTCAAATATGATTTAAAGCACTTCAACACCGTTCCACAAAACCCAACCTCAAATTAAGGTCTTTGTAATAGGGCACAATGATCAATCGTGTTAAAGGCTGCACTAAGGTCCAGAAGCATTAGCACAGACAGCATCAGTTGCCATTGTTATAGCATTTGCAACTTTAATTAAGGCAGTTTCAGTGCTGTGTCCTAGACAGGAGCCTGACTGGAAACTATCCAGTATGTTGTCTGTCTCCAAGTATGAGTGAAGTTGAGTAGCAACTATCTTCTCCAGAACTTTTGACAAAAATGGTACGTTTGAGCTCTTATGGATCCAAACTTTGCTTCTTCAATAGTGACTTACTATTACTGCTACATTAAGTTGGTCAGGAACATCGCCTGATAACAGGGACGCATTCAGTATGGCAGTTATAGGTCTCGCCAGAACTCCCAGGGATTCTTTAAGAAGCTTAGTGGGGATTGGGTCCAGTGGACAAGTGGTTTGTTAGATCTTAATTATAATAGTTTTAGCTCTTGTTCATTAATTAATTCAAGAACATTAAGGGTGTGTTCAAGTTCCATTTTTTTTTTATCACATTGTGGGGACCAAATATCCCCATAATGTAATCTATACCTGAACCATACACACACACACAGGTTTGTAATTACATCTTTGTGGGGACTCTCCATTCATTTCTATGGGGAAAACCCTAATCCCAACATGACGACCTTAACCCCTACCCAGCCCTAACCTTGACCATAAGTAACCAAACAAAATACAAGACTTTTGGCATTTTGGCACTTTGTTAAAAATTTATTAAACAGAAATCAATCTTGAAGAACATTAAGACATTCTAGGACACCAGAGTGTCTCGGCGGGGAGCAGCGCCTCAGCTTGGCTCTGTGACTGCAGTTTGCATCTTCCTGCACTGTCACAGAAGTATATTCTCTGGGATCCCACCCAGGGTGTCCCCCAGCCTGGTACAGTCCTCAGCCCTGCATTCAGAGAGCCACACTGCAGAAGGGTGTCAGCCAGGCTTTAGATGGCTCGGCATCCTTATGGATCACTGACCAAGCACAGAGTATAATGACAAAATTTGCCTTTTAATTTCAGGCTCATAACTACATACTGCAATTCAGCCGCTTTGGCTAATTGCATAAACATTAACTCCAAGTATAATTATAAAACTATGTTCCAGTTTAATCGCGGTGGTGTTCTGGGTTAAAACTTTACAGTTTGAAACCACTGCTATAAATCAAACCATAGCCCACCACTGGTAGGTGTTTGTCAACCTCCGAAAACCAGTTTAAAGCTTCATAAAGTTTTTCGCAGTCCGTTAGCTAGATGGCCTGTTATTCTTCGCCTCAGTACTTGAGTACACCAGCAGATGGCGGTAGTCCATCGCGGAACATGTGCTACAATTTTGTCCCGTAGCGGAATTTTAAAACTAAGACAAAACATAATACAATGTGATGACCTAGATGAAATTTTCAATCTTCCGAAAACACGAAACATTGTGCAAATAAGGTCACCAAGTAGAAGTAAACAGCAACTCAGTGTATTTTTTTTGCAGGTTTCTGTGATAGTTGCACCTGCTTATTAATCTAACAAGGACATATCTTTCCAAACCTTATATAAATTGCATCAAAATTATATCAATTTATAATTAGACATTAGAAATGTTCCGAGGGTGACATGCACATTGGTGATAATTTTAAATCAATGATGAAACTGAGGAAATTAAGTAGGCAAATATTTTAGCTATTGATTTGTTTGTTTGTTTATTGTAACCTACATTTGCCACAATAATGACGTACTTAGGATGTCCTTAGTAATGGAGGCGTTTCTTCTTCATCCACACGTGTGAACACGCTAACAGGATAGGGGTGTTTCTCTACAGCCACCGTCCGGACAGGGTGTTACCCGGCTCTTGAGTCGAGGCAGGGTTCACACTGATTCTCTTCCAGGCAATGAATTCTTAGCGTTTCGGACGGCTGCCCCCGTTAATAGGACAAGCGGGAGACCGGGAGACCAAGCTGCAGCCTGTCTGAGTGAGTGAACCCGCCAGAGATGTGGAGATATAGGAGCACCATAGCCTGCGTCTTTCTGCTGTCCCAATATGCCGCTGCGCAGAATAAGGTGAGTCCAGTGTCTCCGCTTTCGAAAACTACCTGAAGCCTCATAATTGAGCGTTTCTTATCGGCAATGCGGGGGTCTTTATAGTAATGGTCGACACTCTACTTTCTAGGTTTAACACGTCTAATTGTTCTATAATAAGACAAAAGTCCAAATTTCAAAATCTCATAAGACTTAAATACAGAACACGTTACTTTCAAATTGTATTTAAATATAAATACGCATAAATTGCTGAGGCGACATTTGTTTGCGCGACGAATCACTGGTAAATTGTACCACAAATATTCGTATTGTTTTCAGTTTCGTTGGTATCCTGCATATGAACTTATTCCTTGACCCCCCCCCAAATAGCATGCATTGATTTGTGTTGCAAAACAGTCCTTGTGTTGAAATTGACTTATTGGCAATTTGTGCCACTACAAGAGGCCCTGTGTTGAAACAAAATAATTTTAAATGGGGACAGGTCAGAAATCGGGCATGGGCTACACGTCTAAAACTATTCAAGTCAGCAATACTAATACAAAGAGAGCCGAGTACTTGCCATACAGGCTCTTTGAAGTGGCGCCTTGTATTGCATGTGGTCGGTCGGTATAACTGCGCCTCACTTGTTGCCTGCGTCTTGGCAGCTGTACTGTGCGTGAACGCGACCTCTAAATTTTGGTGAAAATGAAATCAAATTAGAGATTGAGACGGCAGCTCTATGCGATCGCACAGCGTATTTCCCTTCGCTTTTCGCTGACGCTCATTTGTTCCGCTCACACCCATCATCTCTGTCGTTAAGTGCTTTCAAGGCGCTGATATTTCAACTGTGCGCAGCTGTCGCTACATAATCTAGTCAGTGTAACGTCGCCAGCTGGAATAATTCAGCCGTAAAAAAAAGCTAGATATTTTTTCAACAGCTCGGTTTAAGGCAGGTACGTCTCCAGATGATGGACGAGCGCCGGATGATCGGGTGCTGGCTAATTGATTCATTTCCCTGGATTCCAGTAAAGCTTAAACTGATTTACCATTATCACAATGTGCAAACAAACATTATTTTTAATTCGCCTTTTACAATTTATTGTATATTTCTCGGCACTGCTAGGATTTTAAACTAGCCTATAACGTGGCCAGACTTGTTTCTAATATAGAAAGTTAGACTCAAATCCCTAATCGAAGAAGTTCAATGCACATGAGGGATTAATAACTGTTATGTAACTGAAAATGTTCTTCGAAAGCCGATTACACTTCGAGGAGCAGAATATTGCCAAAAAGATAAGATATTGCCATGATTTATGTTGTACTTCGCAGAATATTGGGCCTTGATCTCATTATCATACAAATCTCTTACTGTCCATCTCATTTAGAAATAACTGTTTTGTAACTTAATGTAATTATGAGGGGAAAGCCGACTTCCCTGATTTATGACAACATCTCGTTTCCAGTTTAAATGTTATTGTTATTTTTCGCTTTGGTTTTAAATCCCGTTACAATTTTTCAGTCCTCAAATGAAAACACAATGAATGACACTCCTGAGGTGATTTTATCGTGTGGGAGAATAGTTTTTATAACTTGGGTATTTTTTTTATTTAGCCATGTAAATAAATGTAAAGTGCTGTGAGCTAAAGCAGGGCTTGCAGGTTGTATATTATCTAACTGTTGCCCACAGGGTAATAAGTATTGAGGTTGCTAAGGAACAGCACTAATAAATAAAATCGACAGTCCACGTCCCAGAAGATCTGGTCCAATAGAATAACATCAGCTGTATAAATATGCAGGATGACATGGAGGATCAGTCATCAGTGCTGTAGTTATGCCTCTCTGAGGCGGTGGATTCAGTATCTTCGCGTGAAGTTTGCGTGTTCTCCCCATGATCCTATGCGTTTGTTCCATGTACTGCAGTTTTACCCTGCAGTCCATAAAAGGTGTGCTTTGGCGAGCGGGGCTCTCGGTATTGGCCGTACTGTGTGATTTTGCACGTGCCCTCGGATAGATTGGCATCCTGTGTGTCCCCATCCTTTCTCTGCCACCCTTTTTGAAGGTGAGTAGAAACAGAAATAGAGGCTAATAACTAAAAGATCGAACACGGGATCCACGTGCCTGTTTGGGTGTTGGCGGTTCATCATTTGATGAGGTCATTCTCCCACTGAAGTCCACATTCTGCAGTCCCAGTTTCCTGCACCATTCTGGACAAATTACACCGTAATGGATTTGCCACACACCATGTAACGCACTCCGGGGCACCTCTTGCGGAGGGTAATGTATAGAAATGAATTTAATTTAATTCTGCCATCTGCATCCTGAAGGTAGCGTTAGAATCACTGTATGAGCTCGATTCCACTGGATAAGTGATTTTTCTTGGGTGTCACTAAATCAGGCCCAAAAATGTCCGTAATTACGAAGAGGTTGGGCTTTCCTTTAAAGCAATCTCCATCACAGAAGGACCTCTGCACTCCCTTATATAAATCATTCTGCATGTAACAGAATCCATTCGTGTTCACATTGCAAGCCCTACATGGACATATGGCTTTAGGGATGGAGGCATGAACCAAGGCATATATATATTGAAATAATGGACTGGTGCTGAGCCCCACAAATCAATATCCCCATTCAGCAGCTCTTTTATAAAAGTCCTCAGCAGGCATGTGCTGTCAGTGTATTTTAGTTATACAATAGCTCAGTTTGTCCGCAGATGCTGTCAGAGAGGAGCTACATGCCAGCTCAGAGTGGGGTCAGAGTGCAGATCGCAGTGCGCCACAGCACACATTACCTCTATTAATATGGCCTGAATGGTGCATCGGGGAGCCGTGCATCAAGGCCGGCATTCCTGTCGGCCTGCGTCACCATTAATTTCACCAGTGAGACTGAAAAGCTGCCTTTTAACGTGTTTGAAGGGGTTAGCAAGATGCACGACGCCACTGCTACCATTCAGAGGAGTTCTGCTAATGTTACTACCGATGCTACTTGGCTGTATCACAGTGTGACACGATGACTCAGTGGGTAGTGGTGCTGCTTTGCACCTCTCCAGTCGTGGGTTCGAATCCCCCTCTTTGTGCAGTTTGCATGTTATCTGCTTGATTTGACAGTTTCCTCCAGCAGTCCAAGGACATGCAGGCAGGCTAACTGGTGTCTTCATGTCGCCTGTAGGTGTGAATGTGCTTTGAGATGGACTGGCATTCCATCCAGCCTGCAACAGGCTCCCTGACCTGGTCCAGACCCAGTGGTTGGATGATGAACAGATCGAAATATTTCCACAGCCATTGGCAGTTAGATAAGAGTGAAATGGATAGACAGCAAGGCAGTTGATTCTCCATCATGTATAATGGTGTCCCGGTTTCAGCCTGTGGCTGATCTGTCACTGTCGTTCTTCTCTTTTGGTCCTCAGCTCCTATGCCCACACAGAGCTCCATGTTTATTTCACTCAAAACAGCCTGCATACCTTTAATTGTTGTATATGTGTGATTAATACCAGTAGTGTGGGTGTCTTAGCCACTACTCCCCCTGCTGTTTGGTTATTGGTAGCAATGGAATGGAAAAGTGAGGCACTGGCTTGTCCACACCTGCTGGGAAGCTGACCGCCACTTCTGCATTTCCCGTGGCTCGTGTTTCGGTATCTCATGGCCTGGCTGGTCTGTTCACATGGAGACTGTCCATGACATCAGAGCACGGGGGGCGGGGTGACAGCAGGAGAGGTAATGAGATCACCACAGGCTGCTTGTGTGAGCTTACGCGTTTCGGACAATAGGACTGGTTCTGCATGTGTGTGGGTCAGAGGTCGAATTCGTCATGACGCACTCTTCCTGGTCCGCCCGCATTCTGTTACCCACAATTCCACCTGGCTGAGTTCCGTGTGTGGTGATTGTCCGAGATGCCCGGTGTTATTAGAGAGGAAATCACTCTTCCTATTCTCCTCTATAAAAAGACCACGTGATTCCAGCACATTCCAAGTCTCTGGTCAGTTCATCATCCCTCAGTTTCCAGCCTTCAAGAAGCTGCACTCTCTTGTGAAAAGAATTTTTATTCCACCATTTGGTCAGTGACAGCACCTAGGAGGTTAAAAAGCCACGGCTTTTGTCTGCACCGCCGCCCCCCCGTAAGACGTGCTCTTATCCAGCAGACTGCGAACCGCTTACTGTGAAGGATGCCCTTCCCCTCGCCGATAACAGCAAGGGCTCCAGGGCCACTTTGTGTGATGACAACTAGTGCCCCCCCCTAAATAATGGTGCTACAGGCGAGAACAGAGGCTCACAGAGCAGCGAATGAACCTTATCGGGCTTTTAAACCCTTATTGTAGTGCGGTCTGCAACCACACTTCTTCAGCCTTACGCATATTTATTTCTCTGTTGTTGACGATTCAATTGCAATGTGTTTTTTTTTATTTTATTTTTTATTAGTCAGTTTATTTTCTCGGCCCATAAAAGCTGGAAGTAATGGAGCGGAGGGGCCGCATTATTTATCGCAGTAATGAGAGCGTCCCAGCGTGTCTATGGCGTCATGAACAACCACAGAAAAGTGTGTGTGTGTGTNTGTGTTTGTGTGTGTGTGTGCGTCTCAGGTCAGCAATAACCCAGAATAAAGCTCAACTTCTGACATTAGCATTATAGCTTCGTGGGGGGGGGGGGTCCTCAGGGGGCTCTGCTGTCTCTCCGACGTCCGTAGCTGACTGCGTTTGTGATGTGAGGTCGTTGGAACGGAGTGGAGACAGGAGACCAAGGCCGCTCCGCTGATGAGGGGACAGAGGAGCGGGCTGGGTGCCCCTGGCCCTGGTGGATTCGCTCTAAAGGTCAAAGGTCAGGAGATGAGGTAAAGCCCCAAGGTGCCACCCATTTTGCAAAATGAACCGTGGATTTCCTGCAAGTACTGAGTGTGACACAGAAGAAGCTTCTGGAAGCTCTATGCTCACTGTTGACCTGTTTGCTCCAGCCTTAAATGTGCCACAGAAGAAGCTTCTGGAGGTCCTAACCTTGCTGTGTTTTTGATCAGCTTTCTCAGTGGCTAAGCTGATGGGCTCCATTTCTGCATCA